TCACTCACTGCTCTTTGAATTGAGAAAGCTCCTCGGATGAGGAGCGAAACATCTTCTGTTACAAATAAAGTCCTGTTGGTTTTGAATATTTTGAATTCTATTCTGAATTTGACAGGGAGACAGTGGAGAGAAGCTAAAATTGGAGAGACATGATCTCTCCTACCAAGTTTGTGTTGAAGTTGTAAAGTTATGAACCAAATCTAAGTCACTGCTCTCTGCAAGACAGAGGAAAACAACAATGGAAGAGATTCTTTAAATCTGGTTATAGCGTTCTCTGATGAACACCCACCCAATTTAATTTGAATTTTTTTGGATTTGTCGTGTCCTGGATGACTAAGAGTCTACACCTGCACACAATTCTGAATCATTTCAACGTGTTTACCAAAGATTAAATTTCTGTAAAAACGTTCAACAATGGCAGAAAAAGAACACCACATATTTTTTTTAAAGTATTTTTTGTTTAAATTGTCAAAATTTGTGTGTCAGCGGTCAGGAGAAGATTTATGACATCATCTCAGAGACGGTGGACACCGACTTCCCCCTGTGGTTCAGTAAAGTTATGAGTTACGTCACAAGTCCAGTCGTGGTTCTGCCGGGTCTGCTGCTGCTGTTGTAAGACCAGACATACACACTCCAAGCACTTCATGATAAAAGTAGCATTCTTTGAAGGATTGCATATCGCCCGCTGCCTTGTAGCTGTTTAAAAATAAAGTTCTCATGTAATCTGTTAGTCTTCAGAGACTCTGTTGGGGAAGACTATCAGCTACTACCACAACAAAGTTTAGCTCCAGATCTGTAAAACCGACTGCATTAGAGACATTTGAATGTTTTTCAATGTGGCGGCCATCTTGAATTGGATCGAGTACTAAAGTTATAGGCGTGAAGATAATGATTTGAACTTGTGTTGTTTTTTATGAAGATAAATCTCTATTTCATTGAATGTCATGGACAATAAAGTTGACTTGAATTATCTCCAGACAGTTTCAGTAAAATCCATCCACTGGTTTGAGATATTTTGCTAACAGACACACAGGGTGATTTTAATGAGGCCCTTTGAACCTATAGGTTGGAGGTGTTTCCCAGTCACTCTTACAGCAGTGCTGTTATATACTGTACATGGAGTTTATTTGTAGTTTCTCTGTAGTTTCTTCCCCTCGGTCCTGAACTGATATGTAGACTGAAGGAATCTAACAGCAGCTGACTCGTGACCCGTCCCTGTTTTCCAGCATGCTCATCTATTATCTCCAGTCCATTGCCAGGTCCCTGAAGTTCACCAACAACCAGCTGAGGCTACAGCTGCAGACGGTGAGTTCTGCTCCCAGGACGGGGTCTCATCTCACTCCAGCAGGTCCAGTTTTTCTGATTTCAGCATGATTCTCGGGAGACTGCTGTTCAGACTTGAATTATGCAACAAAACAAGATCTTTATAATATGAGCTGCAATAATCAGAGTTTAGATTAAATACAGTTTAAAGACACGATTCACGAGTGTAATGAGAATTATTAAGGCGTGATTCACAGATTTCATATTTTCACAAGTGTACAAAATGTACTCTTTTTGGAGACCCCCCCCCCCTAAAGGTGTACAGAAAAATGCAGACTTTTACAAAACACTACTTTTTTTTTTACCAGTGACAATAAGACATTAAACCCATGTGTTTCCATGGACAATGTAGCAACCCAGAAAGCTATCAGTAGAATCACAAAGAAGTAACTCTTGTGTGACGTCAACTTTTATATTGATTCGCCCTCGAAAAGGAAGTACTTTCCCTCTTATGCATCCTGGGAACAACCTCTGACTCGTACTGTCAGTTTGCAGCCAATACCAGAGACTTTAACAGAAATGCCAAACCTGAACGGGACATTAACAAGAACAACTCATTTCCACGCTCAGGAACAAAAGTTACCCAGCATGCTTTGCAGCTTACATAGTCTCTCTGGGGCGCTACAGTATTGTACTAAGGTAAAATTATTCTCATTCCACATTTGTACACATTTATAAATGGTCTAAAATGGACAGATACAGACTCACAGGTATTTATGATAAACTACACACCTGAAACCGACCCTCTCACAGAGAGAACTTTGGGAGTTTGGGGGAAAATAAAATCAAGTTAAATGGAGAAGCATATCTTTGTTATAATCTGGGGCCTACGGATATTCTTCTTTTAGTGTTATTATTTATATATTAACTAAAGCAGCCGAAACACGAGTCTCACAGAGTCACTGGAAAGATGTGTGCCCCCACGGCAGCAGGAGAACCAGGAGTTCTGAAGACCAGAGATCAAGCCAGAGGTTTGGTCACACAGAAAGGTTGAACATGTCTGGAGCTCTGCTCTGAGTGTTTTCAGACCGAGAGGGGCAAAAACTGTCAACAAAAGTTTCATTCTGAAACGTGTGCACCAGTCCTTGACCCCCTCCCCCCATGGAACTGTTTGTCTGCTTGTGAAAATTATTATTATTTTTTTTAAGTGAGTTACCCCTATGTACCAGATTAAATCTGGCTTTAGAATCCAGGACTCTTTAATCTGATTTAATCTGATTTGATAATCCAGGACTCTCTACCCTGATTTAATCTGATCTGATAATCCAGGACTCTCTAACCTGATTTAATCTGATTTGATAATTCACGATTATTTTACCTGATTTAATCTGTTCTGATAATTCTGGACTCTTTAACCAGATTTAATTTGGTCTAATAATTCAGGACTCTTTTACATGATTTAATCTGGTCTGATTATCCATGACACTCTAACCTGATTTAATTCTGGTCAGATAATTCAGGACTCTCTAACCTGATTTAATCCGATCGGATAATTCAGCACTATTTTATCTGATTTAATCTGGTTTGATAATCCAGTACTCTACCTAATTTAATCTGGTCTGATAATTGACTCTTTTAAGTGATTTAATCTGGTCTCATAATCCAGGACTCTCTAACCTGATTTAATCTGGTCTCATAATCCAAGACTCTCTAACCTGATTTAATCTGGTTTGATAATCCAGGACTCTCTAACCTGATTGTATCTGGTCTAATAATTCAAGACTCTAACCTGGATACTGGTGTCTTTAGGAACACCTGGCTCATTTTTAACAGCAAATTGGTTTAACTCATCGGTGAAATCAAAGTAATCCAGAATTTTTTATAAGAAGTTATAATTTTTGGAGTCGGTTTTTCTTACAAACTGTCCTAAATCTCAGGAACGAACTGAGGACAAGAAGAAAGTCTTCCAGCTGGCTGCAGGTATTTGTTCTGTTTGTTTGTTTCCTCATTAATAATTGATCATACCCCTAACTGTAGCCCTGCCCCACCCCCACAGCCAGGCTCCAGGCTCCAGAACCTGCAGTGGATAAAAACCTGGATCAGCAGGAGACCGACATCATCAGCAAGGAGGCCTCCATCCACACCACCCCCTCCCCCCGGAGAAACGGCAGCGTTACAAACGTCCAGTCTCCTGGTAACAGTGGTAACAGCATCCGGACCATCACCCAGTCTGCCTCTAGAACCAAGCTGAACCGAGGAACCAGGTCTGGATCGGTCCGCAGCCCAGGAGTGACCATACTGCCCAAACGCCGAGCAGAATACATCCCCAACAGGTGACCGACAGACAACTTCAGGTGGATTTTAAAAACCTTACATCCAGTTGAAAGCAGATGTTTACATACACTGTGACATCAAATCAGACAAACCTGTTTTAGGTCAGCCAGGATCCACCAGCAGAACAGACGGTTACGTGACTCCGTAAACTCATTGACTCTGTTGTTGTTTCTCACCCCAGGCCCAGACCCTTCATAGGGGGTCCGAGTGGCACCTGCAGGTCCAAGTCCTGCCTCCACATGGCCTATAACTCCCCTGCACGTGGTTCTGACAGCAACCAGTCTGAACCCCTGTACAGGAAGACCGTCCGCCCCCTCCAGCCTGCAGAGGCTTCTGGGATCGTTGCCGCTCAGAGTAATGGAGGACGCCGCGGCCACGCCACCTGCTACGTGATCGTCAACGAGCATGAGCCCCGAAAGAAGCTGCTGCGCACGGCCACACGGATCCCGTGTCATTACGTGATGGAGGAGCCCACAGAGATCTTGGAGCTGTACCCTCGCAACATCAGACGGTATCCAACCCGCACCACCCACCACCAACCGCACTCCTACCGATCCCACACCCCACAGCATCTCAGCAAGGAGGAGGAGGAGGAGGAGGAGGAGGAGGAGGTGGAGTGGGATAAAGGCAGGAGGAAGGTGTCACTAGGAAAAACCCATAGGCCCCGGTCCCTGTCGGACCTCCACCAACAGGCACAGTTCTACATCGGTGAAGGCCGTAACGATACCCGCACGGCGAGGTACCGGCTCCAGGAGGACGACGAAGAGGACGACGGTAAAGGAGACATGGACTGGGGTGATCTGGACTTTTATTCTCCATCTCAGGTTGGTAGAAGAGCAGCTGAACCGGGCCGAAGTGGTCATCACCTCCGGTACCCCAGAAGATTGTGTCAGTCCCCATCAAGAACCAGGCACCTGGAGTCTCATGTAAAGCCCAAGCTGAGGGCCCAGATGGAGACACCCCAAACAGAGTCGGACTCGGCCTCTGTGGCCTCCAGCAGCGACCAGCAGAACAGCAGCACGGACCAGTACATTCAGGTGATCCACAACAAGGAGCGCCACCTCAACACCGAGCTCAAGAACCTGTCCAAGACCAAGCTGGATCTGAACTTCACCGAGTCTCAGGACCTGGTTTGCTCCAAGGTTTGATGGTTTCTCAAACTGGTTTTAATTTCCTGTAAGGAATGCATATCACCCTCTCGTGTCAGAGTTTATAATGACATCATGTACCGGTGAGACGATGGGACCATTTGGGTCAAATCTGTGCAATCAGTCGTTGCACGTAATGGAGATGACTCTCAGCTACTACCAACCCAAACCTCAGCTCAGTATTCATCAAACTGACTGAGTTGGAGACATTTATGTGTTTTTATGGCTGATCAGCTTTTGCAGCCGTCTTGAAACAGGTAGATGAGTTCCAAGACGTACTTTGTTCAGGAGATATTTAGCTAACAGACGGACACAGGTGGTTACATGATCACCCGCCTTTCATGTTTGGCCTTCAGTGAGAAAACCTGACAGTCAGAATTAAAGCTGAATACGTCTTCCTGTTTCTGTATTTTAGTCTTGACTTGAAACAGCTGATAACTTCATATTTATAATATTATAATCTGATGTTGTATTTTTAGCATATATCTTAGATTATCTAACATATCTCCAACCTGCTGCTCTGGAGGTTGAGATAAAGGGGATGAAGGGAATATGCAACAGTCTGCAGCTTCCTTACAGAACTACAGATTAACATTTGATCATGTAGGAATGGCTTCTGCAGTGACCTGGGACGACCTGTGCTGTCAGTCGGAGCTACATAAATAAACTGAATTAAATTATAATTTGATGTAAAATCCATCTATTCATTATCTTGACCTGTTTATTCCTTTCTGGGTGTCTGGAGTCCATATGATGTAATATGTATATAATATATCAGTGATGCAATGTATCTGATCTGTGATGTAATCTGTGGTGTCAGACTTCCTGTCGTGAATAAATTCAAAGTGAATTGTTGACGGCTCTGATCCGTTTCCTTCCCAGGAATAAGAATTCATCCTTTTTCTGTTCATGAATCTTTTTAATTACAGGATTTTGTATTTTCAGTTTATGTGATTTGCCTTTTAAAATATTCAAATATTTAAACAAAGATAATTCTAACAAGTTGAAATAATTTACCGTTTCATCAACTGGTTTCTGAATCGACTCATTTACTTTGTAATATATATATATATATATATTAAAAAGTAAATGAGTATATATATATATATATATATATATATTTTTTTTTTTTTTTTTTT